TATATATATATATATATTAAACCAAGATTAACGTATATATATTAATATCTTTTAAATTAAACTATATATCATATAAAATAAATAAATATTTTTTTGAAAATTGTTTTTGATAAAAGCTAAAAATTATTGAAAATTTTAATATTTAAATTTTAAATCCTACATAGAGTTTAAAAAAAAATTATGAAAACTATTAAACATTCCATAATGAAGGTTTTATTATCAATGATTTAAAGTTTTTGTTATAAAAAAATAAAAATGATCAAAAAACAATATGAATATAAAACATAATTTAATAGATATTCATATTAAAAATATGATATATATATATATATATTAATATCATCTAAATTTAATTATATATCACATAAAATAAAAAATAACAATTATTTGGATTAATAAAATTTGTTTATGAGTCTGCACCAATTTAATTATAAATATAATAATTACAGATTTTTAATTTATTTAATATATATTTATTATATTTTATAATATGTAAAAATATATAATTTTAAAATAATTATACATAATGTTCATACCGCGAAAGGCGCGGTTCTTAATCTAGTTATTATTATTATTATTATTATTATTTCACTAAATAGTAAAAGTGTCATATCCCATATAAGAAAGTGTAATTTTCAATATATCTTTTAAAAAATGTACTTTTCAAAATTTAAATCATTAATAGTATATAGTTCAAATTATTCCAAAATTAAAAGTTTTATCACTTCAACGAGCGAAGCATCAACAAGACCTTTAAGCAAGATATTGATTGTGATTTCAAAGCTTAAAATTTATTTTTTTTACATTAATATATCTATTATATAAACTTGTTTTCTCTCCATTTTAGGCATGTTATGCCACGTCAACAAATCCACGTCAGATTGTGATTTTTGTTTGGACTGTCACATTAATATTTTGGGCTTCCAATATTTTGGCCCGATAGTATCAAGGTTTTCGCCTTTCCCGTGCTCTTCTTCTTCTACGCCTCTCAACTCCCATGTCGATTCCATTAGATTTTCCCTATAGCTCTTTGATCTTCTTCCTCAACAGACAAGTAATCATCTTAAAAAACCCCTCCAATAACCATCTTCTCTCTCTGTTTTTCTTTTTTATTTTTATTTTTTGATTATAAACTCTTATAATCATCAAGGACTGTGATAAGACTGTTGAAAGGGATTGAAATCTTAGGCTATGAACTGAATAGCTCTAAAAGATGGAAAAAGTCTAGACAGACTATGAACATCTGACTGAGACTTACCAGAAAGCTCTTGCGGAGCACCATAACCCACAGTCCCAGAAGAGGCTGAATGAGTCCAAAAGGAATTTGGTACAGTTTCTTCTTTGAGTAAGTCTCTTCTCAATTCAAGTATCTAGGGTTTTTCTGAGTCGAATTCAATCATTGATCGTCTTTGTAATTTCGAGATCATGATCTTTATGTGTTTGAAATTTCCAGAGTCGGATCTAGACGCCATGGCTAAGAGCTCCTTCAAGCTTTCTAATCCTCTCGGTTAGTGTTTTTGATCCTCTCTTAGCTGCATTATCAATCATCATAGCTTCACATCGTGTAGGATTCTGAGTTTTATCGATGAAAAATGAAGAGTTGATTTAGCCTTTGTTTATGATCTTGATTCTTTGTATGATGTTAATGTCTCTGTTATGTGTTCGTATCTTCTCAGGGATACAGTTAACACGAAAGCAAGTTTAATTAGTCTTTGTATCCATTGAGATTATCATTCTGGTGATTGATGGTTTTTTTATTTGTTGATTATCAGAGACAAGGATGAATGAAGCGACAAAATCCATGTACGTGAAATCACTCTCTTGATTTAACTTTTTAGCTAAGCATTGTTCTAATTTTAGAAACTGAAATATGTTAGGTGATTATGGAGAAGGCTGGACAAAGTGATGTTCCTGATATTGACGAGAAGAAGTGAGTAGTCGTTGAATCTCTCCTTTTGCTATCATAGTGTTTAACATTGAGATTGATCAAACACTAATGTGTTCTCCACTTTGTTCTAGATCAGTTTGTCTACATCAACCCCAACAGAGAGATAAAACAGCAAGGGGTGTTTGTTTGAAGTAGGAAGCGACATTGATTCTTTCTTTGGCAGTCTCAAAGTAGTCTTAACTTTGGAAACGACTATGAGTTCAAATATTGGGACTAGCACCAAGAGTTGTTATAACACTTAAAATATCCAAGTATTATGCAGTTCATTTTTAATAGAATATATATAGTGTCTTTACCCTTAGACTGTATTATTTCACTTACCACAAAACATTCTAGACATAAAGTTTGTTTCTCGAACTGGTTCTACACAAAGTTTTTCTTTCTTTTACACAGTTTACATTGACGTTTGAGTTTTTTGTGAGAAAATTATATATAAGCTGTTGACAGAAAATAACTGCCAACCGCTAACAATTAACAAACAACTTAGTAAATAATCAAAATATAAATTTATTAAAAAAATAGAAAAGGGAAAAGATAAACATTAAAATTCAGATGCCTACATAATATAACCAAAATACATAGTTTAACAACAATACTTTACTTCAGAGATATATTTAGAATATCATAAGAATACAAATGAATAGAATCCATTAACAATGTTCTTCTCACGTTTTTTTTAGTTGACTTTCATTAATTCTTTTGCGTATCATCAAAGCATCGTCTCAAAAATCAAAAGAATGAATCTAACCGTTGTTTTTATGATTTGATCATTAAACTCAAGTTACAAAAAACTAACAAAATATTAAAGATATACAACAAAAAATTAACACGCAATTTTAAAAACAATTGTGAGACAGAATATAACAAGTAAATAAATTAAACAAAATAACATAAATAATGAAGTAAGAATTAAAGAAGCTATATGTAAATAAATGTAATTACGTCATGGATTCAAAAAAGTATAAAGTTATTATTAATATGAAAATAATATGTATTTATCTTCAAATTAAATAAATCAAACAATATTAAAAGGCGCATATGAAGGTTTGTGAGACTGTCCACGTCAACATGAAAAATCAACCAGTAGTGTTTGAGTTTTTTTACACGTCATGCCACGTCCCCGGTCCGATAGGCCCGTTTTCGTTTCACGTGAAGTACTACTGATTCGAGTTTTTGAAGGGGAAAATCGCATAAAAAACCTTAAAGGTGGCAACCACTTACACTTTAAACCTTGAGACTATTTTACAAGCACTTTAAACATTCAAGTTGGCAAATTTAGCATATTAAACCTCCAATCTGGCTTACTTGTACATCAAGTTAAAAATGTGACCGGTACTGTTCAAAAACGATGACGTGTCGATTTTTTTTTTTTTTTTAAATATTTTACTAAAAAATAAATACAAAAAATACAGAAAATATAAAAATTCATTAAAAATCATTAAAAATTGCAAAAAATCATAAAAAATAAAAAAAATCAGAAAAATCATAAACATTAAAAAATCACAAAATAATTAAAATATTTTATTAATAAAATATTAAAAAATAAGAAAAACTTAAAAGAAATTATAAAAAAATCTCAAAATAAGAAAATTCAATTTAAATAAAATAAAAATGAAATTTAAATAAAATTAATATAAGAATAATAGATAAAATAAATATAAATTCAAGAATAAATAATTTTATTTGTTTTATAAAAAATGAGAAAACACTATAATTTTTTTTAAAAAAGAATCATTATCTTCAAATGATTCTCGTGAACCAAATCAAAGCAACAAATTAAAAATGATTCAACCATTTTTTTTATTTTATTTAATTTTTTTTTGAATTTTCTTATTTTGGGATTTTTTTATAATTTCTTTTAAGTTTTTCTTATTTTTAATATTTTATTAATAAATTTTAATTATTTTGTGATTTTTAATGTTTATGATATTTCTGATTTTTTGAATTTTTTCAATTTTTAATGATTTTTTTAAAGAATTTTTATATTTTCTGTATTTTTATATTTATTTTTTAGTAAAATATTTTTTTTTATAAAAAAAAAACCGACACGTCATCGCTTTCGAACAGTACCGGTCACATTTTTAACTTGATGTACAAGTAAGCCAGATTGGAGGTTTAATATGCTAAATTTGTCAACTTGAATGTTTAAAGTGTTTGTAAAATACTCTCAAGGTTTAAAGTGTAATTGGTTGCATCTTGAAGGTTTTTTATGCGATTTTCCCGTTTTTGAAGTCCTGTGAGTTTAAATCTTATTGGCTAAAGCGAAGCCAATAGGCCCGTTTTCGTTGTTTTTTATCGGCCCAACAGAAGATCCATAGATTTAGGGTTACCTGCGTTGTTTTTGTTCCTACTTCGATCTCTTCGTTTCCCCTTCTCCTTTTTGGTTCGTTGACAATCACTCCTCTCCTCCTCTCTTTTCCGTAATCAAAGCCATGTTTACGTCATCAACGATGGATTCTTTCCTCTCAATCGACCTATTTATCGAACCCTTATTTTCGGATCAAACGTTGCTTATCTAGAAACAGACCATTAACCTGCTCCACTTTTCTGATTCAAAGGACAGATGTTTCTATGATTTTTGGATGCTAGGTACCTGAAGAAAGCCGGTGAGTTTCTGGGGTGGACATGGTTTTTCTTGACAACAAGGTATCATCCGTTTAGCTTCCTTCTTTAATTATTTTTAGATAGTTTTGGTTTTGGAGGTGATGGAGCCGACTGATTTTATTCTAACAAAAAAACTACAGGTTTCAAAAATGTGAATAACTTATGGCTTTGGATTTGCCGTTATCTTTGTAGATCGATTTAGCGTAAAAGGGTTTTAGATATGATCAAACAGATATTTGGGAAGCTTGAACAATGACTCCAACGGTGAAGGAGCTGTTAACTCCTATTACCCCCCAAACCCATCAACTTCTTATGGTTCACGCGTACCAATTGGGACTCTTGCTCCTAACTCTGACAGGAACATTCAACCTGGACCCTTTGAGGCCTTACGTGCTTCAGAGATGTTCCCATCTCTTAAAAACCTAATCTCTTTATCAAGAAGTTGACCATGTGCTGTGATGGCCACACATTCAAGTTGTCTACGAGATTCTTCTCAGGTTCGTTGCTTCTCCCATGACTGACGCAAAGCTGGCTAAGAGATACATAGTCCACTCCTTCGTCTTGAAGTATGTATTGGATAATTTAAAAATTGCCTTGATAGTTTTATTGTTGGTTTTGTTGTTTTATGTTAGCCTTTGTTTGCTTGATGGTGGCTTGCATCAAATCCAGGGATTGGATTAGAGTTGAAAAAGATTGTCGCAAAGCTATTCAGCTTGATCACAATTCTGTCAAGGTTTGATTCTTTTGGCTACATCTAAATGTGAAACCAACAGAGTTTTTTTTTTGCTTTTGGTCTTTTATTATTCTTGGCATTGTTTGATCGCTTGGCCTCCTTCATATGGAGGTGTTAACACTTGTGTTCTGTCGCAGGCGCATTACATGCCAGGAAGGGAAGATTATCCTGAAGGAGTTAAAGCCTTGCAATTGTAAAGGGTATGGATACAATCCTCTCTTTTTCTGTACAATTTATTCGTTAGCGTGATTTTTTTACTCCATAACGTTGAGACTTAATTAGTGTACTTTCCACGCATTTGAAACAAGTGCAAGGGAATCATTTGAGTCTCCATCCTTTTTGCAAGACGGTGGATACTAATCATACTGGTTTTGGTTCGGATAACCATGTGAATGGATTTGATAGATTTGATGGCTACGTTTCATATAGGCATTAGATCTTGGAAGAGGAGGAAATCCCACATGATACATGGTAGAAGAAATATGGGAAGAGCTTGCTAAAGAAAAATACATGGAGTGGGAACTTGCTTCTGCTTGGCGCTCGTGGGAATTGAATAGTTTGAAGTAGGTTCTGTCTCTCTCACTCTAAATCCACCGCCAAAACATATTACCCAGAACTATGCTTAATTGTGGCTTTATGGAACTGTTCATGTTCATCTTAGGGAAACTTGTGAAGCTGCTCTTAATCAACAACGTGCTTTAGAGATGTCTAGAACAGAAGATTCCTCGGAAGAAGCCTATACTTCCCATACTGAGCAATTGAAAGCTCTTGATCGAGTGTTTGAGAAAGTTGCAGAAGACGACAAACCAACTGAGGTGCATTAACGTTTCTTCAAATGCCATTTGCAAGAGCCCTTCTATTCTGAGGTCAATACCATTATGTGTCAATTCTTTTTTCAGGTGCCAGATTACTTGTGTTGCAAAATTACTCTTGAGATATTCCGATATCCTGTGATATCTCCAAGTGGGGTTACGTATGAAAGAGCAGCAATCCTTGAGCATATTAACAAGGTTGGCGTATCAATCTCTCTCAGTCTCCGTCTTTACTTCTTTTCATTACTCTTAAGCTTCGGTCGAATCTTCTTGCTAGGTGGGAAAGTTTGATCCTATAACGCGTGAATCCATCAAAACTGGTTCCAAATCTGGCTATCAAAGAGGCACTGGCATCTTATCTTGAGAAACACGTATGAGCTTAGAAAGTGGTTCTTGATTCAAATGAGGCTTGACATACACACATTGAAGCAGGAGAGAGATCGAGTTTAACTACTCAAGTGACTGAGCAAAGCAGTCCAGTTCCTTTATTTAATTTTGTGTGTGTTTCTACTTGCCAAATTCTTCGGTGGTGTATGATTCACTGCCTTGTATATATATTTGTTTTTTTAACACATTCACCATTCCATTTAATCTAAGGCACACACACCCACAAAGACTGTTTAGACCATGGAGGATATGCCAAACCATAATCATAATGGAGCTCTTTTACAGTCTCATACTGCATATGTGGCAGAGAAAAGGTGATTAAGTTTACTAATTAATTTAAAGAAATCAAGATTTCGATTTAATTGTAATCAAAAGTATGGATTTAGTTCCATAAACTTATGGTTATACGAGAAAATCTATACAACAAAGTTCCAGGGCCACATTTCTTGCTACAGTTTTTTTTAATTACTGTTCCTATAGTTTATTTACTTTGTTCTGCTGCCATTATTGCTTCATCCCTTTGTATCATGAATGTACATCAAAATTATATCAACTTCTATTACAGTTTTAACAAAGAAAATATATGATTACTAAAGTTTATTAATATGTATGTAATTTAAATTGATTTTACCAAGATTCTAAAAACCATCCCACAATTGTAGATGATGAATCAAGAAATACAAACAAGTTTCATATCTCGGCATATTAAAAGTCTAACTATATCATGCTCGCATTTAAATTCTCTGATCTAGATCGATTTATTGTCTTTTCAAAAAACTTAATAGACATTATTCGAAGGCTTAATGAAATTAAAAACAGAATACAAAAAAGATCTACATCACACGAAATAAGAAAAACTTAGACTTTGATTGCTTTAGTTGTTTTTGTTTTTAGTTTTTCGGTTTTAGATAGTTAAATATCAGTTCTTTATTTTTATATTTTGTTTATGACATTCAAAATTTTGGTTTTAGTTTTGGTTTATATATTTACATTTTGGTTTGAAAATTTTAATTTAAAATTTATTTTTACTATTTTTAATGTTATGTGTTTATTGGTTTTATCAAAAGAGAAGTTTTCTAAGATAGCTCTTTTTATTTATTTTCATCAAAAAGAGTATTCAAAAAATAAAATGATCACAACCGATTTTATTAAAAAATAGTAAATATACACTTATATCTATATAATTAAATAATATAGCTCTTTTTATTTATTTACCAAATGTTGATATATATTTTATTAATATTTAAATAAAAAATCTCACAAGTATATAGGGAATGTTACAAGCTCTTTTTAAAAGCTCAAAAACATTGATTATGGTTTACCACTAAAAGTTAAACTTGATATAATATATAAAAAATGATTTCCCAATTTTATAGGATTTTTGTTGGTTTGTTTATTGATTGTTACAAAAGTCTTTAATTCCCTTAAACCATTTTTTAAAAAAAGTCTTAATGAGATAATACAAGGGTCAAGTTGTGTAATACAAAAAGAAATCAAATAAATAATCATAAGTAATATCTGATGTAAGTAAACGTGTTATACACGCGTTATGTATATATATAGAAAGAGTATTTCTATTCTATATTAAAAATAAAATAGAATTCATTGAAAATTATATTCTATAAATATGTAGTATAGTATATAGATTAAAAAACTAATATACAGAGTTTACTATATAACTGTAAAATATATGTTTATTTTAAATTTATAAAACATGCTATGAATGAAAATATATCTATCAAATATATGAATTCCAAAAAATAAATAATTGTATTAATAAAAAAACTAAAATAGTTATTTAGATGGGGGAACACACTAACTAAACAAAACAAAAATTAACACGATATATAGAGATGATTTAACTATTATTATATAATGTATAGACTATATTCTATTCATTAAGTTGTTGTGTATTATTGGTAAATTGAAGGTTTTTTGGTTATACAATCAAATTTCCAATAATACAATGGTTTTTGAAATACAAAAACCAAAAATCCTTCTAAAACCAAAAAACAGGCAACATGTTAACAAAATACTGTTACTTAAAAAAAACAGATACATACTCATACAAAATAATTTACATAATAGTAATGTAAACTAAAATTAATAAAAAAATATAAAGCACACTTTAAAAATTAGATATATTCAAATGAAAAATATTAAAATATATACTCCGCTCGTAACGCGGAGAAAATCTTTAGTTAAACTAAAGAACATAAATAATGGAGTAAGAATTAAAGAAGCTATGTAAATAGAAAACGCAATAAATGTGAAAATTCAAGAGTATAATGAAAGTCGAAGATATAAAATTAAACAAACAAACCAAAATAAAGACAAACACATTACTATTGAAACTATCTACACTGAAATTGAATATTGTAATATCAACTAATTTTAAGCAAAAATAGAATAAAATTAAATAATAAGAACAATCACGAAAATAATAATTTAAACTACATATACACATATTCCGCGCGAAGCGCGGACCGGCCCTAGTTAATATATAAATTACTAATTTAAAGTAGGGAGATTTGTTAAATATGACTCAAAACTTGATTTTAAATGTAAAAGTGTACTACAACTCAAATAAATGCAAAAGTAACTCAAAAGGCTAGTGAAATTACAAACGTCTTCTCATGACCAAACAAAAAATAAGAATGTAATTTACGATTATAACCTTACGAGTAAGAAGAGAAAACTTACATGAAAGTCTTTTCATGCTGTAGATCTTAAAAATACTTTATAATATAAAAAATAATTTGATTAGTAAAAAATTTTATCATGTAATTATTGACATTTATAAATGATGTAAATTTAGATTTAATAAAACCTTATAGTTTTCAAGATAGATGAGTGAAAGTAAGTTTTTCATGATATTCTTTGATTTAGTGTTTGGTAACTATGTTGTAGTATTGTATGTGTTTTTAGGGTTAGATTGTGGAATCTTAAAATTTTATTTTTAAATCTAAATTTGACCTATATGTGTTTAGTTTTATATATATTAAACACTTTATAAGTCTATTTTAAGTCAAATAATTTTTTTTTGTATGTAACTTAGTTATATATTTGATTTTGGGGTTTTGAAAGACTTACATTTTGGAACATACAATGCACTAGAAGACTTATTGGATGACAACAACTTTCCCGCTTAAAATGTGAAAAATTAGGTTTCCCGCCTAAAACTAAGTCTTTCAATAAGTTTTTCATAAGGCTTTCTTAAGTCTTCCAGTGAAAGTCTTCTAGTCTATTAGTTTGTAAAATAATTTATAAATTGCATAAAAAATATTTTGATAGGAGAAAATTCATAATCATCTAGTTGTAGACCTTTGTAAGTGATAGAAATTTATATTTAATAAAATTGAATTGTTTTCGACATAGATGAGTGAATGTAAGTTAGTCAAAATATTTTTTGGTTTAGGATTTGGTAACTATGTTATAGTACTGTATGTGTGTTTTAAGGTTAGATTGTGGAATCTTACTTTTCTTTTTCTTTTTAAACTAATTTTGACCTATATCTGTTTAGTTTTGTGTATATTAAACACTTTATAAATTTATTTTTAGGTTTAATAAAGTTTTTGTATAGTTTTATATCTGATTTTAGGGTTTTGGAAGACTTAATTTTCAAGATATAATGCACTAAAAGACTCTAAATGAATTAACAATAGTTTTCTGTTTAAAAATTTAAAAGAATTTAGGTTTCCCGCCTAAAGTATTTTCTATGAATAATGATGCATTGTGGATAGGATCTCCAATTTTTAAAAATGCAAAAAGATATAATTTTCAAAATAAAAAATATTATTTTGGTCATTTTAATTTATGCATTCTATTTTTGTGACTTTAAAAAAGTCTATTTGAAAGAATTATCCTAAATTCAATAGCAACAAATCACAACAATATCTAGTAGAATATGCTATAATGATAAAATATGTCACTACCACTTATTTTCTCGTTTTTCATTTTTACTCAATGCATAGGATATTTAATAATATATTTTGTTACATGTTTAGCATTTTCTTTGATTTAAAATTACGATCTCCTTCTCCTTTTATTTTTCTCTTACTTTGTTTAGAACTACATATTTCATGTATAATAAGATGACTTAGAAAATCAGATGTTTTTAAAAAAAAATCAAATGTTTGCATTACATCTCATCAACATCTAAAATTTAATCTAAGTAAAGAAAAATCACCATTATAAATGATGGACGAATATCAAAGAAAACACAATAAATTTCCAGTCTTTGAGAATTCTTAAAAAATTGGAAGATGCTTAAAACCTAAATCTTGGTATAGTAAATACAGACAATAAGTAACGTTAATGGTACAAAATTTATGAAAATAAAATATAGATGCATCTGTAGGAAGGAATTCCAAATCAGACATTATACATTTATACATAACGCTTATTCACTTATAAATTGAATGCATACACAAAAATAAATTATAAATTGATCCAATATAAAATGCTGACAAAATTTTATGATTAAGGAATATAAATTAGACTTTAACCCATTGTACGATTTTTTTTGTTTGTGTAAAATTAATAAACTAAGCCAAACTGAAAAGGTAAAAAAATGTAAATGTTTTTTTTTATTAGTTGGTTTTTGAAATATTAATATGTATGTATTTCAAACTTATATTTGTCTCAAAAATAAATAATTTCAGCTTTAGATTATTATTATTATTATTATTATTATTATTATTATTATTATTATTATTATTATTATTATTATTATNAAATTAATAAACTAAGCCAAACTGAAAAGGTAAAAAAATGTAAATGTTTTTTTTTATTAGTTGGTTTTTGAAATATTAATATGTATGTATTTCAAACTTATATTTGTCTCAAAAATAAATAATTTCAGCTTTAGATTATTATTATTATTATTATTATTATTATTATTATTATTATTATTATTATTATTATTATTATTATTATTATTATTATTATTATTATTATTATTCTTATTATTATCAT